GGCTGTTCATCCCAAGGCAGCCCTGGATTGGGGGATTTGGGCTGTTCATCCCAAGGCAGCCCTGGATCAGGGGAGCCCCAGCTCCTACAGAGAGGAGCTGTTCCCACCCCAGAGCAGGCTGGCAGCTGCTGTGGGCAAACTGCACCAGAACTGTGTGTGCCAGGGGCTGTGGGTCTGTCCCAGGAGGGATCCTGCAGTATTCTGTGTTCTCTGCAGTATTAACTTCAATCAGGATGCTTCCCTCATCTGCGTCTCCAGTGACCACGGCACAGTCCACATCTTTGCTGCAGAAGACCCTAAAAGAAATAAGCAGTCAAGGTAGGGATTGAGCCTTTCTGAAGCTGGGGGGGGAAGGGGCCTTGAGCTTTTAATGGCATTTAAAACACTGGTTGTGTCACTCAGTAGCAAATCCCTGCACTGCTGGAGGGAGCAAGATTGATGTGCTGGGCTGGAGTGAAGCTGCAGATTTAGGGCTCTGTAGTTAAACTGCCAAGTTCCTGCTGTCCCTTGTGGAGCTGCAGAATTCCAGCAGAGGGTCAGGGTGGGTTTTAGTAGATCTCAGCATGAACATACCTTGTGGACACATCCCTCAACTAAAAATCAATCCTTTGGCAGTTTTTCCAGTCACTTAAAAACGTAAAGGTAGGTGTAGGGTCTCCCTTGCCAAGAAGGGGAATTGTCCAGGTTACCTGGTACTTGGTAAAAGATCATAAAAAGCCAGTCAAAAATAGTGTGAGCTCTTTATGTTGTTCAGTCGCTCCAGCAGTTCTGAATCCACTCTACTCAACACCATACTAAGCTGTTATTTTTTTTCTCTCTTTCAGTTTGGCCTCTGCCACCTTTCTCCCCAAATACTTCAGTTCCAAATGGAGTTTTTCCAAATTCCAGGTTCCCTCAGGCTCTCCGTGCATTTGTGCCTTTGGAACAGAGCCAAATGCTGTCATAGGTGAGTGATGGAGGAGTCCCCAGGTTCTGGCTGGAGAGCCAGGGTTTGAACTACACTGGTTTGGAGCTGGAGGGAACCCTCTGCTGAGACAGGGCTGTGTGTCCCTGTCAGCTCTGGCTGCTCCCACTGCCCAGGGAGGGAGGCACAAGGCTGGCAGAGCCTGTGCTGACCAGGGCTGGTGGCCCTCGGGTCTCTCCAGAGCATCTCTGGGTGCTCTGTGAGCCTGAAGGGAGGGTTGTGCTGTAGCTGAAGGAACAGAAAGGCACAGCCCAGCTGACTCTGCTTGTTTGTGTTGCAGCAATATGTGCAGATGGCAGCTACTACAAGTTCTTATTCAACCAAAAAGGGGAATGCTCAAGGGATGTGTACGCTCAGTTCCTAGAAATGACAGATGAGAAGCTTTGACTGGGTGGAGGGGAGTGCACGAGTCACAGCCCTGCCTCGGCCACTCCACACCTCTGAGGGACAGTTCCAAATGTCCAGTTCTGATTCAGAAGTTCAGCAGAGCTCACGGAGAAGCCTGGCCCAACATGATCACAAGCAGCTCTGAAGTAGTGGACTACATATGTTTGTTCTCATTTCTGCAAGTATTCATCATTAAAATCTCTTTGGGTTACTGTCACCAACTCAAGTTTTCAAGATGTGGCTTTTGACAAGCTTGTGCCTACTGGGTTTCTCTTACTCCAGACTGTGACATGACTTTGGCTCCAAGGCCGTGCCTGCCACCCGGGCAGCTCTGTGGGGCTGCCCACCCCCGGGGCTGACCTGAGGAGAAGGGATGTGAAACCAGAAGATTTCAGGCATTGCTTTACTTCCACTGCATGGCTGGGAGGGGGGAACGCTCTGGGTGATGCTCCCTCTGCCAGCCTGGCCAGGAGCAGAGAGGTGACAGGGGACACTTGCAGCTCCAGCTCTGCTGGTCCCCTGCCCTGTGCAGGGGGCTGGGTGGGGGCAGTGGTGGGGCCCTGCCTGTGCAGGGCAGGGATCAGCACGAACTGCCCAAGGTGCCAAACTCCAGAGCAGTGGAGGCACCTCTAGGCAGCCAACCCAACCCCCCTGGGTGTGCACAGCAAACACCCAGGGCCCCTGTAGCTGTAGAGGTGAGTCCTCCTGTTCCCAGTCAGCTGTTCCAGGTGTAAATCCCTCTGGGTACTGGTGTGCCAGCTGTGCTGCCAAACTGCTGCCAGAGCCTGCAGCTGGGACAGGCCCAGGTCTGGCACAGGACTGAAGGAGCTGCCAGGAATCCACGTCTGCAACGGCTTCACACTTGCAAACTTTGTCTTTCTTTCTTTGAGCTGTCGCATCCTAAAGCTGCTGGCCCAGGACAGGTAGGTTAGACTGAACCCACTCACCTGTACACTCCCCTATTTCCTGCTGACCTAAGGCACAAGCTCCTAACCCAGAACACAAGATTAGCTCCAAGCTTGGCCTCTCTGGCACTAAACCTTGGGGCAGGGAGGTCCAGCTCTTCTGGACTCTTAATTTCACAGATGCTTCAGCCCTGACCCGCCAGTTCACTCCCAGATTGTTTAGCTGCAAACTCTGACAAGTCCCTTTTAGTGTCACGTAACCTACTAAGGACTAACTTACCATGTTGATGTCAAGGTTGCATGTTGCTTTTATGTGTATTTAACCACAGGAATTGTTTTGCACACTTATTTGTAATATGTTATTTCTTTTAAATAAAAGTGACTAACTTTGCTGTATTCACTGATGGTCACAGCCAAACCTTCCATTGCTCCAGGTCTGGGGGAATAAACACCTCTGTGAGTCAGGAGTGGTGGCTGGTGTAGGACAGGAACACTTGAACCACTGCCTGGGGCACATACCTTGATGTTTTTCCCAAAATAAGTCCAAACCTGTTCCTGTTCAGCACTTACCACTCACCACAGCTGCTGGGCTGAGGCTCCTCACCTTATAACAGCTCTATCAGCAAGACTAAGTGGAACTGTCATCTCCCCAGAGAAGGATGCAGGGGAAGGGCTGGAGACCATTCTCCAAGCACGATGGAAATCCCCTCTCACTGGAGCAGGCAGGAGCTGCTCATGATCCCACCCATGGGACTTGCTTTGAAGAGCAAGGAAACTCCTGAACTCCACCATCCAGGCTCCTGCACTGCTCTGCACATCCTCAGCTGCTGGAGCACCGTCCCCCTGCCCTCCCATCCCAGTTATCCTGGAGCTGACAGGAGACTATGAGTTGTTTTGTGGGAGATTAAACTGCTGAATTTGTAAAACTTCCTCTAAACATCTGCTCCCGTGTGGCAGCAGGAATGACAACAACACACCTGTGTGGGCAGCCAGCAGTGCTGCACTGAGCATGGAATCCCCTAATACCATATGGACTAGACCTCAAACTCCTGGTACTACCCACAAATCTGTATCATTCAGGACACAGGCTGTTCTGCAGGGATCCGAATCCAGCAAAGGAATGAGTCTTCCCACCTGGCTTTGGCTCCAGGTTGCTCTGCCAGGACTTCATGACATCGCTCGCTGCTGCCCCGCGTTCCGTGGGTGAATTTAACCAGCATTTGCACAGCTCTACAATCAAATGAACAGTGTTTAGTCAATAATTTTTCTGGAAAATAAACAGTACTTCAGGATTACAGCCCACTGGTTGATTGATTGATGGCACACATGGCCACAGTGCTGCAGGCTGGGATCACCCCCAGCCACGAAGACACGCGGGATTTGCACAGTAAGTCTAAAACACAACTGTTCCTGAAACATAAAAGTATTCCCACCAGCATCTGCTGTGTAAGTACATGGATTATCCATTTCTTTTCCTTCTCTCCCTGTTTTGCTGTCTCCTTCTGCAGCACCTGTGTCACAGTTCAAAATCCTGACAGGAAAACTAAACAACGAGCCACTGCAATAAATTCTATGGCAATTCCAGGTGTTTGCCAGCAGAAACCACGGAACATGAAGATTTCTCTCAGAACCTTTGGGTATCCACCCTGAAGCAGAAAACACAAGATTAATCAGTACAGTTGGCACACATGAGGCACGAGCAGTTCCTGCAGACAGGGGCTGTGCAGGACATGGAGTGTTGCACACCTGGGAGTGCCGGGCTGGGTCCCCGCTGCTCCCCCTGCCTCCATGGCACAGTGACAATCACACCATTGCACTGCCTGCAGCTTAAGCATTTATTTTTTTTCTTTTTCCTCAAACAAGCCAATGGCTCTGCTCTGGTCAGCAGGAGAAGTGGGGGAATTTCCCACCACAGCCCATCCAGACCATTCCTTCTGTTACAGGAGCAGGTTCTGCTCTTTCTGCCCCAAATGCCCCAGCCCTTCCCAGCAGCTCCACAGCCCTCCTTTGGTTTCTCCCCAACTCCTGAAAGCACTGACATGAAAACCTGACCAGTAGAGCTTTTCCTTTGTTGGTCAAAAGCATTTCCCCAACTCTGATGAGAAACAAAGGGAATGTAACGGGAAAAGGGGATCAGAAACCAAGCCCATGTTCATGACAGTGATTCCACAAAGTGCCATCTCCTTACACTTCTTTACAGAAATAATGATCCATCTCAACACAGACACATTCCTGTGTCCAATTCCATGTGCTCCAAAGTGTGAAGCCCTGGCAGGGGCCAGTCTCAGACCCATCCATGCCCTTGGCTCCCAGGACACAGGGTCAGGAAGGGACACCTTGGCTTGCTGGGTCTGACACTGTCCTGTGGCACTGCCAGCAGAAACTGCATTAGTCACCCCAAAATATACATCAGTATTTCAAACACACTTGTTGAGTAATTTCAACTTGGTTAATTTGCTGAATAAAATTTAATTTTATTTAAAAAATCTTATACACTATTATTCACCTAGCCCTAGTTGTGAACAGATTCTCACTTCTGAAAATAAACCACATTCTAGTCAATTCATTCAACACCAAATTAAATTACTAGTACTGGATTTTTTTTCTTAAAAAAAGTATGTTAAAACTTTACTTTTTTTTTTTTATTTTTAAAACCTCTAAAGAAAACGTTGCAATTGTACAGAAATGCTTCTTTTCAGGTTATGCTTTTTTTTTTTTAAATGCCTGTTATAAATCCAGCTTGTGTAGACTTGTTTTTTTTCATAGTTTTTTAATATGTATTATCTGCAGAGACATTGTAACAGTTCCATTGTGTGGATGAACACAAAACTTGTACAGATTTCTCATATTTGGTCTTTAGGTAAATAGTTTCCAAAAGCTGCCTAAAATAACCACTCCAAACTGTTCAGTCCATCGTGAAAATACAGTTTTTCCTTTCACAGCGGGAAAGGAAATATAAATAATGCATCTTTATTACAGAACAGGACAAAAACCAGATTCCCATGAAGCCAACGCTTCCACTCACCTGGCTGCAGGAGGAACTAAGACGTTGTGTGAGTTGAAGACTGAACAGCAGCCTTGTTTCAATTGAGTTTTGAAATGTAAAGTGGAATCTATTACCACATTAAAGTGAGAAATTACCGATACATTTTAAAATGTTCAACTGCAGAACACACACTTAAAAAAAAAAAATAATAATTATTATTATTATTACCATAATCTGGTAGCCACTGTTAGAAAACCACAACAGCTACTGGTCATGGAGACCCCGGAGGTCAGTGTCTGACATCGAAGTGTTACAGAGAAATGGGGCAGATTAATTTCTACTCAAGGGTGCTTAAGCTTAAAAATATCGAATATACCTCTGACAAGATAATTTTACTCTTTTTAAAAGGACTCGTGATAAAGAATTTCCTCTTTCTAAATGAAGAACAGTCTGTTATCTTAAACATACACAATATTAAGCGAGACTCTTGTTTTACTTTAGACTGGAAAAATATGCCAGGGACAGTCAAAGTCAACACAAAGTAACAAACAGCAAAAGGTAGCAGAGAGAGAAACAGGTAAGTGCAGCTCTGGTCAAATCCATAGCAGTTCTTTACGTCAGTTAACGGCTCATTTACATCAGAGTTTCTAATCAGTTACATGCAAGCCCAAAGAAGCGTTTGATCACTACACATGGTAATAAAATTTGATTAAATTTATCAGGCAACTGCTAAAATATGAAAATTTGCAGATGTAATAAAGTAGCTTTATCTGAACTTGAACAGGACAGACAAAAGTAAATCATTCCGTTGGTTAAAAAAACCCTACATTCAGTTTTTTACCAAACAAAATTTCACATGAAAAGTATTTGTGTGATTCCAAAGTTTCCGGAGTAGAAATGGAGTGATTTGAAATGTCAAAGACCCCATTGTTTTGCAAAGAAATGAAAATACACCTCAAAAATTTTCTAATTCCACATGTGAACAACAAAATACTGCATCATCTACCAACAACTGCATGGGTGGGTGGTTCGGAAAGGCGTAGCTGCCACGGTGTCGGAATGGCTCCTGCCTCTGTTCCCTTTAGGAATATACAATCGTTAAACCAGTCACACTAAGCGCTATCATGCTGCCGTTACACTGAGATCCTCAGTCCTGGAAATCATCTGACAGGTCCTGTTAAAGCTGCAGCCCCCCCCCAGCACACACAGTCCGGCGGGGCAGGAGCAGAGGGGGAACAGCCTCTACAACAACACGGTTCTGCAGTTTTTGACTTTTAAATTACCAAGTTTTAAGGCCACCTGTGTTTGGGTTTTGTTTCAGTGCTGAAAGTTGAAGTCTGATCACAGGGCCCCTTTCCCCACTGCGTGAGAACATGTTCCAACGTTTTAGGTGTTAAGATTTAAGTGTCTCCTTTTGGCACCACGGAGTTTGCGTTTGTTTTGTTTTTGTTTTTTTTTTTTTCTTAAAAAAAAAAAAAAAAAAAAAGAAAACTCCCCTAAGTTTCTAGTTCTGACTGCCTTTGTCACTCACTGCCACGGGTGGGGTGTCCACGTTCACAGCTATGACTATGCTCTCTCCATCCTCTGTTTTGATACGTTTGAGTTCCTGCTGTTCCGACTGGTCTCCGTTCTGGCGCTTGGTGGGCAGCGACGCCGATGCGGACGCGTGGGTGGCCAACATATGCAAAGGACTTGCAGCAGCTGGAAAAGAGGGAATGAAAACCTCAGCACCCCCACCCTTGGCAAGTCAGAGGATATGGCAGCAAACCTGCACTGTCATTAAACGGTCGATTCCTTTATTGGCTCCACGTGGAGCCCAGGTGAGATTTTTGGGGGTGATTGTTCAATCTGCACAACCTGAAGGACATTTTCCCCACTCAACATTCACACTGATTCGGACACAGGTGGGAGAATGGGGAAGCAGCTTCATTTAGTCACTGGAGAAGTGAAGACAGGGAAACATTCAATGACTGGAAGCAAATCAATACCACAACTTGTGACAGAACTGGGAAGTGGATTCACAAACCCTTTGGTAGGTTCTGGCCACGTCTCTGATCACTGCAGATGTGTGACATGACCTGGAAGGAGAACAGCACCGTGCCAGACCCAGCTGGGGCTGTAAGTTACTGCAGGAAAGCTCTGGAATTCAGAGCCAGGAGATGCACACGACACTTGCAGCAATTCCCCTGGGAGGGGTAACGAGGCATTTGCCCACAGCGTAAGGGCAGGGCTGGAACAAGCACCAGTGGTACTGGACACATGTGATTAGATTCAGATCCACAACAGCATCAGATTGACAGAAAAATACAGTTTGAATATCCTATACTAGATTTTAATTTCCCTCCATGGACAAGACAGCACAGGGCACCACTAATGGGTGAGTCCAGGCTTTTAATCCTTCAGACACCCA